CCCCCCGGCACCTTTCAATCAGCCCCCTGTTGAAAAAGTTTGAGAACCCCTGGAATGGAGGATGGCATGAACCATTTCTCCAATACAAAGCCTACAACATTTTATAAGCACTTTAGCATACTTTTAAAAATAGTCAGACACATAGTTTCAGGAACTTCTGCAACAGCCGTGTAAGCTAAGACAATTTATTAATCTCCCCTTCATTAAACAGATGAAGGGCAGAGTCTAAGAAAATGGTAGCTATCCCCAAGGCACGTTACAGAATTTGTGAATGAGATCTGAACTGGGCTGTTCCTGGTTCACAGCTCACCCTCCTACTCCACCTATCATTTGTAAGGTTCTTATCAGGTATGCCAGCAGGTATATCAGGTATGCCATTTGCTCAACATTTGTCCACAGTTATCCTCTTAGGTTTTATTAAGCTTAAGGGCAAAAAAGAAAAATATAAGGCTTCAGCTCATTTCACATGTTCTTCTAACTCAAAAATTATACTGTGGATGTCCTCTGGAGTAGCAAGAGGACACCACCTCTATGTTATTTTACATCCACATGGTGTCCTATCACCTACGCAAAGGAAACCCAAAAGTGGGACATGAGTGCAACAGCATCCTTCCACCCATGATCCCCAGCACATAAGCATACTTCCTCTGATCCTGCTTCATGAATGTGTCCAATCTCCTTTCAAAGCCAGACAAATTGATGCCCATCTTGTAGAAATGAATTCCATCATTTAACTAGGTATTGAGTGAAGGGGACCTGAATCTCCCATCAAGCAGATTTATGGGCTTCAGCAGCACATATACTAAAATTGGAACAATACAGAGGAGATTAGCATGGCCCCTGTGCAAGGATGTCACGCAAATTCGTGAAGTGTTCCATATTTTTGCTTTTGGCTCTTGCCTCTTGGCAGAGCAGCAGAGGCTGGGAGAAAGTGCTGAGGGTGGCCAGGGGACTGACGAAGACAAGGTAGGAGCTGGGCAGAGGAGCAGAGGGACAGGAGCAGTGGAGAGGAAGGGGGCGGGGCCAGAGAGGCTAGAGGGGCCAGGAGGAAGCAGAGGGGCAGGGCAACCAGCCTGAGAGGCTTATAAGGCCAAACTCAGCCGTTGGTGGTGCTAACGGATGTGGCACCAACAGCATTGTCCCTTGTCTGTGTCCCTTAGCTGCGGCCGGAACTGCCCAGGACTCCCTTACATGGGAGCAAGGGGGGTTTGGTTTTGTTTTTTCCCTCAATTTAAACTTTTATTTTATCCTTGGGTGTGTGGGGAGGTGTTGTCTGGGAGAACTGGACGAGTGAGAGGCAGTGCAGGACAGACAAGGAGGAGGACCAAGGTAGGGTCTCGGATGGGTTCCCAATGGCAGACCAGGAGATGGCCTTGGCAGGAGTCACAGGTGTTGCTGTCCGCTAAAACAGCTGTGACAGGTTTGCCCTTCTTCCCCAGGAGAGGCAGGAATACACTTGCCCTTGGTGCAAGCTGGTGACCCTCCTGGAGGAGGTGAGGTGCCTGAGGGCTGAGAGAGCTTTCCAGGCCCCCCAGGAACAGTCTCCCTCCAGACAGAGGGTTGAGGTTGAAGCCACGGGAGGAACAGCTGGGGAGACATGAAGGCATGTCACCCACAGGAGGAGGAGCTTGAAGCTCTCCTGGGAATTGGAGGGTATGACCTGGTGGGGATCACAGAAACTTCGTGGGATGAAAGGCAAGACTAGAATGTAAACACAGAGGGGTATCATCTTCCTGTCCATTTTAGAAAGGACAGGAAGGGAAAGAGCAGTGGGGGGCGTGGCTTTATACATCAGGGAAGGGATAGGATGCAGTGAGATAGAATGCAACACAGATGGGGATTTGGTAGAGGCAGTCTGGGTGAAACTTAGAGGTTTTGACAGGGAAAGAGACCTGACAGTGGGGGTATGTTATCACCCTCCAGGTCATCTTGAGACCCTGGATAAGGTCCTGACAGGCCAAATTCTAAGGATATCTCGGAGGAGGGACTCAGTAATTATGGGAGATTTCAATCTCCCGGATATTAGTTGGGAGACTCACTCGGCGGTGACAGCCAGGTCACATCGCTTCCTAGAAGCTATAGAGGGAGGGTTTTTCACACAGAGGGTCCGAGAGGTGACGAGGGGGGAAAACATCTTTGACTTGGTCTTGACCAATAGGGAGGAGCTGATAGATGAAGTACAGATTAGGGGAGCTCTGGATGGAGTGATCAC